AATCTACACCACAAAAACCCCCCCCACCGCCGGTGGGTGTGGGGAATTTGGGGGGTTAAAGCCCCACGCATCTGAAAGTGGCCAAGGTTGAGAAACACTGTCCTAGACATTCGATTCACCCTCTTCCCCAATAAGACTTTCCAGCTTTTTCAGAGGCTTCTTGAAATGATGACAAAGCTGGCCACTTGCCCCTTTGATTTTTTCCAAGTCCTCCCTGGCAGCTTTCGTTATTTCTATGCCTGTGGTTGTCCTGGCCCATTTTTTTTTTAATTTTTTTTTTTTTTGCTATGCCCTTCTCCTGTCTCTTTGAGAGCAGCTAGATTTACAGGCATTAGCAGATGATAATGTTTATCTCCATGTCATGAGAAGCACCATCTGCTGATTTTTGTAACTGAAACTGCTGTTAAAGGGCAGAGGAACAAGCCAGGCAGAGCCCCCTTTTTTGGGCCAGTGGACAGCTTTATCTTCAATTAAAATTAAATTTCAGCACCGGTTGATGCATTGTTTAATTGTTCCCCAGTCCTTTCTGTTAAGAGATGAGGCGAGCACATTGGCACTCTTGATTTCATTTCCTTTTCTCTTTGCCCCTTCTTCTTGCAATAGATGTGTCCATTAACTGTTAGTAACTCAACTCCAGAAGCAACCACAGTCCAATCAGCGGGAGATTGGGATCCTTGCTCATTAGTAGATTGCTCTAATACCAGAAATCACTTCACTTTGCCATTTGATATCACAAATGGCAAACCATCTAGTAGTAGTGCAATCTTTTTGGTAGGCTTCTGCACAACAGGTAGAAGTTCAGCAGGTGCAAGTACTCTCACTGTTACAGCCATAGGCGGCAGCTAAGAGGAGTTTTTTTATTGCTCCCACCTCTGCTGAGATACGCTAATGCCAGCTTTTGAGTTCAACCAGTTTTCAAGAATGTTGCTTGACTTTTTAAAAAATCTACATATTTGGGAACAAAAGTAAATTGATGGCTTGGGGAGCAAGCTAAATCTGATGTGAGAAATGTCTAAATGGGATATTTCCAAAGAGTTTTATTTATGTAATTATTTAAAATCAGCTACCAGTGAGGGGGATGTTGCTTGGATATAGGGACATTGCTGGAGGATAGTTAATCATTCTGTTCTATGCCATTTCCTAACTGAGTGCAGTCCTGACGTTGCTCTCATCCTGTGGGATTGGGGGGATGCAAACACTGTCTAAACTGATGCATGTTTTCACATGTGTAACCAAACATTCATTTCCAGACAGTGGGATTTAAAGGAGGAGAATCTCACAGGGTAGTGAGGAAACTGAGCCACCATTTCAAGTCCTATTGAGATCACCCATTCCCCGCTCTAGCTATTTTTGAAAGCTCTTCCTATGCCACAGCTGACTTGGTCCCAAAAGAGTCAACCCCTCATTCCCAATGAAGGGTAGAATTAATATCAGCTCGAGCGTTTGTGGTTTAAATCTCTGTCTAACCATAACCTTCCTGGGTGCCTTAAGCTGGCCATTTATCAGTCAGCCTCAGCTTCATGTTTATGAGAATGCCAATAATAATCCTGATTTATCTTACATAGCATTGTGAGATTCACTCAGATTCATTAGAATTCCCAGCCAGCAGGACTAGAAGAGGGGCAGCAAATGGGAAAGGCTGGCTATGTAAATACTAGAGCTAACCTAGCCACAAATGTCATCCATTAATGCAGGGTTCCTCAACCTTGGCGACTTGAAGATGTGTGGAATTCTCGGAGTTGAAGTCCACACATCTTCAAGTCACCAAGGTTGAGGAACCCTGCATTAATACACAAAATCTAGGATCACGCCATACAAATCTAACATAAAAAAAACACTTTATGGGTTAGCAACATTATGTTGTGTGAATCTAGCCAACTGTGGTTTATTCAACAAACCCATGAGTAACCAAAATATGGCT